TGCTTAGATCAAATTTACAAATTTAAATGTTTAAACTTAAGTCAGTATTGACGCTACACGTCATCAGCTCTGTTAGATTCTCCACAGTTGAATTTGTTTATGTCATTTTATGGAAACCATGAGCACCAAAGTCTGAACGTGTCCGTTCCTAGAGTGTTTATATCCTGTGAGTCTGTGAGGGTTTACTGTGAGTATTGTCATGTGAAGTCCGTCGCTTGCTGTCTGCAGGCTGAGGCTCTATCTCGCTCTCAGTACATGAGGTTGGCGTAGAAGCGCTGTCTCAGCTAGATCAAATGAATGATCCATAATTAATATGTTTTTTGATTTTCTAATGATTTAAATGAACAATTTGATGATATTTCCCAAGTTTGCTGAGCAACAGTTTTGTGTGAAAGGAATTAAAGACCCGTCTTATGTTGGCACATGTCCCAAATATACACCGGTTGAGTTCAGTGGTTAAAGCAAGTAAAGCTTGGGCCATTTATTTAAGATTCATGACTCTCCACTGGTCATTAAATGCCTCCCATTAAAAAGGGATATTTTTATTTGCTGAGATTTTGGCCATTGTGCTGTTGGTATTTTCATACTAAGCATTGATCAGACCAGCTTTGTGGCCCTGTCTCAAAAACTTGACTTGGACTTGATTGAAAAGACTTGGTAATAGCTCTGATGCAGACTCTCTACTCAGTCCCACAGTCACATAACCAGTGTAAATGATATCTTGTGGTTAAGTTGGGTTTCTATCTGTGAAAGACTCTGTCCACGTGTTAACCATAAGTCAATGTTTCCTGTGTACCGACAGCGCGGGGCCCAAAGGAGACAACATCTATGAGTGGAGGTCGACCATCCTGGGCCCTCCAGGCTCTGTGTACGAGGGTGGAGTGTTCTTCCTGGACATCGCCTTCACACCAGACTACCCCTTCAAACCACCCAAGGTGAGCTCTGAATGATTGTAAACTATGGCACAGATGGCTCTATTGGAAAGAGGTGTCATTTTCGTGTTTGCCACTGGAGAGCGCCCTTGCACTGTGGACGAAATGAAATCAGCAGCTCATTCTTCTAAACTGAATCTCTATTAAATGGGATGTTCTTTTATAGGAGGAGCTGTCACAACCAAGCTGCATTCAAAAATATATAAATGTACGAATGTTACCAAACATAAACACCTCATGAAATATGACCTGACAGCTTTTCTAAGAATGAAATCTATTGAGCAGCATTTTTAAAGGAGATCGTCCACATCCTGAGGTGTGTTTGTGATAGAAAAAGGTTGTGGGAGTTAAAACAAAACGGTGGAATACAGACTCACCTTTTCGTTTTTGTGTGTGTGTCCAGGTGACGTTCCGTACGAGGATCTACCACTGCAACATCAACAGCCAGGGGGTGATCTGTCTGGACATCCTGAAGGACAACTGGAGTCCTGCCCTCACCATCTCCAAGGTCTTACTGTCCATCTGCTCCTTGCTCACTGACTGCAACCCTGGTGAGAGCTGCAACACAACATATGCACAACTGATTTTTGTGCCACTATTAAACATGTTCGACTTATAAGCAAGGTAAAAATAATTCAGACAAGCAGTCCATTTAAATACAGAAATTAATAGACGAATAAATGTGTAATATGGAGTCAAAGCCAGATCATCTCATCAGCTGCAGTAACTCAACACTCTTCCATCAAGGTTTTAGCAGGAGTAACTCCTCTGCATCTGGTAATCTTGGATGTTACAGACCATAAAACTGTCGTATAGGCAGTCGAACATGATTTATAGGATTTATAGGACGACACATGAAGGATTTTAAGGCTCAGTTCATAAAATCTACTCTTGACTCCAGCTTATATTCCACAGCTTTAAAGTCTTATACCTTCAGATTAAGCTCCTCTGACTGTATCAAAATCCAGATAGAAGACAGAAGGTGACGTGTTGGTGTTCAGACTGAGGAAAAGCGAATATATGTTTTATTCTTTTAAGATTTTCAGATTCAGATTCAGAATACTTTATTAATCCCCGGGGGGAAATTGTTTTTGTTCCAATGCTCCGTCCAGATAAAGATGAAGATATAAATAAAATACTAAAATAGACAATGAAATAAATAAAATAAAATATTAAAGTACACATTAAAATAAAATAAAATATTAAAGTAGACAATAAAATAAAATAAATAATAAAATAGTAAAGTAGACAATAAAATAAAATAAATAATAAAATAGTAAAGTAGACAATCTGAAATATATACAACATACAATAAAATGGTTGTGGCGTATTGGATTTTGCAGCGTTTACAGCAGCATTTTGACATATAGGTGGTAAACTGAGGTGACAGCACAAGTCTTCCTCTTACAGCAACACGTGATGATGAACCACTTTTATCATTTTTGAAGCCTAAATGCAACAGAGGTAAAAAACTAATATTCGGCTCTAAACAAGCTGCACCATGGTCACATGACTTCAACATCGCCACCACACTGCGGCTTCGAATCCGTGTTTGGCGTGATGACACTCTGTAGTCTCATTTAGCCGCTTGTTTGCAGCCACCTTTTATAAGACATGTAAAATCTTCACAGTTCATGAGTGAGGCATTTACTGACGTATTTTATATCGTAAAACAAAACGTGAAAGTCTCTTCAGCTTGTGTGAACCATAGACCTTATATCAGACATGTCACGAGGGAAGTGAGAGTGCAAAACTTCTCTGTCCTGCATTATAGGACTCAGTCCTGCACCACACACATCTGTCATTTGATCTTTCGGTCCCATTAATACAGGGACAGCTCTCCCTCTCCCTTCAGTATCCTGTTGTAGGCCACTGTGGATAATGTTGCAAGTAAATGAGCTGAGCTGCTTTATGGCAGCATGTGACAACGTGATTAATTACCTTCTTTTTCATGTAATAAATAACTTGTTTCACAAAAAAACACACATTCCCATCTTATTTTCTAATTAAAGCAAGACTCACCCGACTGTTGGCTCTGAGTTCAAACACAAACTACGCATGATAACATGATGACATCACTCCTGTTGTATTATTTAAGAATGTGGCCCCAGACTATAAACTAACATAATGAAAGAGACAGTCCACCCAAAAATCTGGTCTGGTATTTCCAAAGCGCTGTCAGTCACAAAGGGGTTCAGCCTTTTAGACAACTCCTCCAATCATCATGCAGACACCGAGCATCCTCTCCCGCCTACCGCTCCATTAGGTCCCAGGGAAGCTGAGCCTCCCTGGAAGTGACCATTTTGTCGCATTTATCCAATGACCGTCTCGCTTTGCTGCATGAAAAAAACCTGCTCAGCGCTGTCTCATAGGAATGCTTGGAGGCTCCGCGTCCACCGTGCTGACATGAGAATGTATGACAGGGAAGTCGCGTTTGAAAACTGGTGATAAACAGCTGACGTTTGAACATCATAGTCATGATGTGAAACGCATCCTAGCGCACGTTTAATGCAATGTAAATTCTTATTTTAATGTAAATTCAATAGTGCATATTTGACCATTTCTTCTATGAAATTTTAGGGCAAGTTCAGCCTCCCTCGTTGTCTCAGAGCAATCGCCCCTGGTACATATAGTCCATACACTTCCAAACCCTCCAGAATCAACTGCAAATCTAAATACTCACACAGTGAAGCTGGCAGTAGCCACCACTACAGAAACAGAGTCTGTGTAGCTGGGAAAAAATCCCGCTCCACCTCCCCCTGTGTATTTTGGCTGTCACTTGTAGTGCTCTAAATCAGTCTAGATTGTTTTGGTGGAGATATCGGCTCCAGAGACATCGGCCTCTTCTCAAATATAATCAAACTAGACTAGTGCCAAAAAAAACCTAATACTAAAAAATAAAACTATTTTTCTACCAAACTACAACCACCAAACAAATCACTGCACAGAAGGAAGTGTGCATTCACATAATGTTAGCTAGCTACAGCTACAGATACAGTTGGCGGGTGGAGTTTGGTCGAAAGAAAATAGTTTCTACATTAAGCTGCTCACAACAAGGTGAATTACTGGGTCAGGATTTCTGGAACGTTTTTCAAATGTATGTTTTTGGCACTTTGAGCACCACAAGCTGAGAGCCATCTAGGTCCGTTATGTTTGAGACAAGGCAGACTCTCTATAGCCTAAACTCCAACACTCGGTAAGTCACACCAAAACTTAGATTAATAAATAGCACTTCAGGTAAAAGGAAGGATGTAGTTTTAGTTTTGGGGGTGAACTGTCCCTTTAAAATCTCAAAACTATATTTCATACTTTATGAAAACTAATTTTTAGCAAACGAATGCGATAGATCTGAAAGAGGAAGGAACGAGCATGTATAAATACTGACGCCATGTTGTTTGTCTGTCCCCAGCTGACCCTCTGGTTGGAAGCATCGCCACACAGTACACAACAAACAGACCTGAACACGACAGGATAGCCAAACAGTGGACCAAACGCTACGCCACATAATCACCAGAGGAAGCTGCTGGTTGGACGACTTGGGGATGTGGGGGCGTCAACTTTGGTAGCAGGGGGGGCGTGGCCTCCCAGCAGAGGAGGGATGCGGGGAAGGCAGAGGGGCGGGTGGATTTTTATCTCAGAATTGAAGTCTTAACTCCTGACGTTTTGTGTTTATTGTATTTTTTAAGTTATCTCCGGCCCAACTCCAATCAGATCTGGCAATAACGCATTAAGTGTTTTCTCTTTGGATTTTTAGCTCGTGCTTGAAGATGGACGTTAATACTAAACTGCTAGATGAGACGTGTCACAGCATGATTCCCAGTCAGTTACGTCGGTGTAAATTCTCACGTTAAGTTCCAGTTGGTGTTTGCTTGCCCCTCCGAACTCCTGCTCTTTGACAAGATGTTTGACACATGTAGACATGTTTAGATATGGATGGATATTGGTTGTGATTTGTGTTCTGTACTGATAAAAAGCTGTTCTGTTTCTCCCTTAAGAATTAAACATGACCAACTGAAGCGTCTGACTATGATCATTTGAAACACCCCCAAAATAAAAACACTCGGAGGATTAAATATGAAGAGGCTACATTTTATTCAGTGCATCTTAAGACAGAGTTACAAAGCAGAGAATAATTTAGGGTCGACGATCACAGAGTCTCGCTCACTCTGTTCCACTAGCAGCACATTTAATGTTATTACTTTGAGACATTAAGGACACAGAAAACAGCGCAGGTCATCGTTCATTGTATCACCGTTTCTAAGGAATGTGACTCATTAAAGTGACAAAAATAAATTAGTTAAAAAATAAATATTTTCTCTCAACACTGACATTTCTACTGTTAGACTCACACACAGCTTTAACTAGTAGCCCTATCGGATTACACAGGCTGGACGACACAGGAGTGCAACTAACGTCAGACATTATGAAATCTTACATCACAAGTAAAGGCAGCACCAGGAGTATTATTGCTGCCAGGCCATACTTAGTAAATGAGATGGACTGGAAAAAGGCAAGCTGAGTCCTTCCAGAGGACAAGGGTTTATGCTGCATTCATATCAGATGGGAAATGACATTAAAGCAGCGAGATTCCTCTGTGAGAATACTGTTGGACTGCAGCATTCATGAGCTACTTGAGACATTAGGGGTTTAGTGCAGGCGTATGGCGATGTCAACTGTATCCTCATAACATAGACGTTGGAGTGATATACACACGTCAGTTGAGAACGTCAGTGAACACAACACGTTCTTTTACAAATCAAAAGTGAAACTACACAAGACGTGTGACTGGGTTGTGGAAATTCTTTGGTACTAAAGTGCTACGTGTTGACGTTACAGATGTGGTTTGTGGTCGACACCTGTGTTTGGTTTGCTGTAAAAGATAAACAACATGTACCCTCATTAGAGCAGTGAACACATCGTGAAATATGCTTATTTGCTTTTACCCTGTACGAGAGATGAGAAGATGAATATCATGTCTGTGGGTTAAAAGCAAAGCTGGAGTCTGTGGTTAGCCTAGCTTAGCATAAAGACTGGAAGCAGAGAAACATGATGATGGTATCAAACCTGACTTAACTGTGACGACAAGGCTCTCAGAAGCTGCAAACCGTCGCTGCACCACAATGTTGTGTGCCAGGAAACAGTTACACTAGTTACTCCCTCTTAAACCACACACTTAGATTTCTACGTAAAACAAAAGTCAGGGTTGTCAGGTGTCGTTCTCATCTTGTCAACAACACCAAAACCTGCGCTTACTGTCCATATCTGGCAACCTGCACTGTAGCCAGAGACACTGTTTTGTTGTTTGTCGAGAGGAAGTTTCGGCACAGAGCTACCTCTGTTTGTGTACACATTAAACAAACAAGATATAAAACATTAATGAACGAGCTTTAGGGATGTTGGTTGGCAAACTTTTTGACATTTGATAGTAACAAGCTCGCTGTTTCCCCTGCTTCCAGTCTTAATGCTAAGCTAGGCTAACCATGTTCTGACCTGAGCTCTGTACTAAACACACAGACATGAGTTTGTTATCAGTTTTGTCATCATACTCTTTGAAAGAAAGGATGTATTTCCCCAAATGTTGAAGTTATCCCCGAAAATTAACGCTGTATATAAGTGAATGATTGCATGAAAAAGTGGTTTACACAGACGCATTCAGAGTCATGTTGCTGAAGGCCTTTCCGTGTTGTCCTGCTTGTTACTCCCATATGAGGTGAATGCAGCCTACTAAAAAGGAGCAGAAAAAGAGTGCGGGCATCTGCAGAGTTTCAGATGTCGTTGGACGGCGTGCCCTTGCTTTTGCGCCCCGGCAGAGGGAAGGCAGACTTGCTCTGAGGCTGCGTGAGGCGGCTCGTCAGCTGGGTGAAGGGCTCGATGAGGGAGTTGCGCTCGGTGACGCTCACCTCCCACAGCTTCACCTTCTCACCTCGCGCCCACTGCTGCGCCACCTCCTGGTCCACCTGACGACGCTCCCGCAGGTCCGTCTTGTTCCCGAGCACGATGACTGTTACCTGAAAACACAATAGATGCACATGAACCTCATCCCATTCAAATTTAATAATAATGCAGATGTTAAAATGACTTGTGGCGCAAAATCACATTAAAATACAGGGCTACTTATCAAAATTTAGTAAATTTAATGCAGTAAAAGCCTCCAACTGTGAAACAAAACATATCTAACTTTTCAGTTAGTTTTGTTTTATAGCTACGGTCTTGTTGTCACTGCTTTATCCTTACAGTAGTATACAGTATGAGACAGAAAGGGCCTGTCCCATTTCTACCCCTTAAATCTTCCACTTGGTATTGAGTGCCCTTGTTTGCGAGATAACCCTTGATGAGGAAAGTGAGAAATATCAGGGTAGAGATCTTTCCCTAAGCAAATCGGCGTGGCTGACCTGGAGTCGTACGTCACGCGTAGTAGCGACGCAATGAAAATGCCAGCTCCAGCGCTTGTGTTGTGGCATGTGCTATGTTTATTCTTCTCCATCTGATGAATCAACAGAAAAGAAATGCTGGAAACAGGAGGCACCTATGACGTCTTCTAGTTCTGATCGATTTTGTTCGGGTAAGTCGATTTGTTTAAATATTTTGACGCTGTGTTCAACTGAGTTGCTGATGAGTTTACGCTAGTCCAACCATCTGTTGTTTGTATAGCCTACAATCATATCGTACGGTAACAAACTGTTTTCCAAAACTTGCAGACGTTGCTGACTTTGCAAGGTGTTTCATCTTCCACGTCGTTGAAAGTGTGGGTCGGGGCTGCCTTGGCATTTAGGGCGGGTTTTAAGTGTTGGAAACCACTTCCACTACCTCACTTCTGTTTTGGGACACCACTGGCTTCAACGTGAACGTGCACAACCAAGTGAAAGTGGGTATTTCTAGCGAAGTGTGGGTGTTGGGACAGGCCCAAAGTCTGATCAAATCTAGTTCCTCTGGCTCCACCTGGTGGTCCTAATGGGATTTACAAGAAATGACCTGCGCCTGAATGAAAACAACCAATCACAGCCAGGAAGTCTCTCTAATGCATGTCAGTTGCTGCTTGTGCCCATGCTGCTCAGCCATCACCAGTGTACACAACAAAGACAAGTAAACCGAAGAGAACAACAACGAAAACCTCGCAGAGAAGCCTTCTGTTGATACTTGTCTTTGCCACATATGCTATTATTGGTTCCTGAGCCACGTAGTGGAGATGCTACGCTTGAGTGAGAGCATGCGTGGAGGCTCCTCTTAGCTCGTGATTGGTTGTTTTCATCCAAGCATGGTGAATTCTTGCAAATGCTACTAGGAGCACTAGGACGAGTCAGAAGAACCTGATTTTTTCACAGATTGTCGGTCTCATACTGCTGTCAGGGTAGAGTAACTGTTGCTGTGACAGAACATATAATTAGTACACAAATACATAAATACAGTAGACAACTTATAGCAGCGATGTCCGAAACAAACCAGAATGACTGAGAGCTTATGCGAAGATCAACAAGTTGTTTTTTTAAATGAACATCAAAAGTAGTGGAGATATTTAACATCCCCAGAAAAAAAAAACTCCCATCGGTTAATATCTAGTGATCTAATCACAGTCCTATATTTTAATACTTTTCTGTACTGACAGTTTCTCATGAGTGGATTTTTGCCTTTATGGAGCTGCCAGCATCTAATACTGTGGCTTTTGCACAAAGCAAATACTCTGAGGGTAAACAGCAGGAGTTTCATGAATGCTAATGCTAATGCTACATGTGAACATGAGGGCCTTCTGTGCTTTTAGCCTGTGCTAGCTGTAGACGGCTTGGGGTACGCACAAGTCAGTAACTGCAAGATGAGTTGTACTAGCTGACATTTGGCACTGGCTCTCTGTGCGGCATGTTAAGTAGCTACAGTCAACATGTCCATCAGTGCAGGGTGTGCAGTTGGTTTCCATCTTCTGCTTCAATTCTAAATACCAAGTAAAAAAAAGTCCATATAAGCTTTAAGGCAACCGTGTCCTTAAATTTCCTGCCTTTCTGCTGCACGTTCATCCCCAGTAGTGGGAGGGCCTGCGTACAGAGGCAGCTGACACATATAAATAAGAGCAAATTATACTCTCTCAAACTGGGAACCTTTGCCTTTTCATATCTTTATTTAGTGTTCCAGTTCCTCTTTATGTCCAAATGCTGTTTGTTCACACCTGTCACTACCTCATCATGATGTAATCAAGTGGTAAAACAATGTAGCTATACACCTGAAACATGGAAACCACCTATCGTAAATGGTGCTCTACGTGTTGTGTGGATGTTTGACAATAATAAAAGGCAGCACTAAATCTTGTGACTGAGCTGAGGAGAGAAGCGCACCTCTTTTTTATCTCTGGACTTGTCTATTTCCTTCTTCAGGATGTCCACCTTCTTGAAAGACTCCAAGCTGTCGACGCTGTAGACGAGGACGAAGCCGTCCGCCACTGAGTAGTAGTGTTTGGGGAGGTCTTGTCCATCGTGAAGGCCTTTGGTGTCATACAGCCTCAGCTGTTCCTTCACACCACGGTCAGTTTCCACCGAGGCCACGTACACGTCCTCCTGGGTCTCACTGGACTCAGAGCCTGGAAGTTACAGACACAAGAAAATTCAGAAAGGGGATGATACACTAGGAAAACAATTGTCTGCCAGATCTAAGGAGTCTAAACCTTAAACCTGCATTAAGCCAAATATGACCTGTGTGTATAACAGTGTATCTGTTTCCTCGTGACTTCCTGAAATGCATCACTCACCCACAGAGTGATTTCCATACAGCAGCTGCTCCAGTATGGCAGTTTTTCCAACTGCTGCCTGGCCACACACCACAACCTTACAGCCTTTTCCCATCTCGACCCTGCAGTGTATGAACACAAAACGTCACACTGTGAAGACTCCCATGTGACACATCTGTGACACATGTTACACGTGCTATAATAACGTCATAGACATCTACAACAGTCCCTTTACACAGCCCAAACAGACTCTGATCTTATCTTTAGCGTTGACTTGCCTTGACAGCGTTTTGTTGTTAGCATAGCTAGCTAACAGGCTAGTCGTAGTGGCTCATTGTGTACCGTATAAACACACCACTAATAAAAACAGATGCGAAACTACTTTATCTTATTAACTGGTACATTGTGCTAAAGTTACTTACTTGTATCAGGAGGATAACGAGCTATCAAGTCCTTGAACGTAACATCACAGCCAGTGCACCCATTCTGCGCTGCTACCACTACGATTTGATTTGTCACTGCGCATGCGCAACAGAGCACTGGCTTTGACGGTTTGACACCATCACTACCGCCGATAAACATTTTATTTGTTTATTTATTTTATTTTGTTTTATTCGTTAATACACAGTTACGTCTGTAGTCTGTATGGCAAATCAATTTACAGTTTGTGTTTTGCCTCTAAACTCTACTCTGCTTATATTCCGTTATAAAATCACTATATGTTGAAAATTAATATAGAAATTGAAAACTAGCGCGTGTCTGATTCCCGACACACCATAAAGTTTCATCAAAAGTGCAGAGAAACGTAAAAAACAAACGAAGACTACATTTCCCATGAGCACGTCAGAGGAAATGCGTCACTGTCGTTTTCATAAGGCATGCTGGGTACATGCCCTCTCTCTTTCCGGCTGGTACGCCATCATGTAAGCGAGTATTCCTATGCTTTTTCACCAAACGTAATCCATTAAAATCATAATGAATATACTTTCATCTGTCTGTTTAACGCAGAACATTGATTAGCGACTTATTACTATCTCATATGCCGTGATTATTTTTTCACTAACATTGTCAAAAACATAGATTATAACCCTGTTTTCAGAGGTGCGGGGATGCAGTCATATCTGGTAGCCATTGGTACTACCGGCCGTAGCATAAAGCTAATGTGTTGTCGCTGTGCTGTCTTGACGTCAATGTAAAGTTACCGGAGTCTTTGTCTTTTAGTCTGTTTGTAAACGACATATGCAGTTTGTCATTAATGGAGTAATATTAGCAACTTTCCGGTGAACCGGGAGCGAGAAGCGACGCGGCTAGCATTAGCATGCTAGCTTCATGTCTAACTGTTCGCCAGGTTTCAAACAAGCATGGAGCCCTGCTATATTACAATTTGTATATAATTAACGTGTGCGTTTATATTTTAGTCACCTGGGTTGCCATACCATGCGTTACATGTGTCTAAATCACGGTTTAGAGGTTCGAGACATAAAATGATAGATGTGTAGAAATGGTTAAACTTACTGGTGGCTACTGTAAATGTATGGACGCTCAGGTGACCATGTGCAGTTATGTTTCGGGAGTCTTACCTCTGAAATTGACTGGTTTTGGCAGCACTATTTTGTTATGGTCATGCTATCAAAGCTTTAAATTTTATCTCTGTAGCAGCAGCTAGTCAAAGTATTGTATTGCAAGCTCTCACACAGCAAAAGACTGGAGCTCTTTCTAATTGTTAACTTGTAAATGTGTCTCAAATTGACAGTCATGTTGTTGTAGATATAGCTGCAGATGATTCCCGTCCTTACTGTGACATGCTGTATTGCATCATGTTAGATCTTAAAAAGCTATGAAATGACATAAGTAATTAAACTGAGAATGTTTCTGTTCTGTAGATAAGTCAACATGGGAGCATATAGGTATATGCAGGAGCTATGGCGCAAGAAGCAGTCCGACGTGATGCGCTTCCTGCTCCGCGTTCGCTGCTGGCAGTACCGTCAGCTGTCCAATCTCCACCGTGCTCCTAGACCCACCAGACCTGACAAGGCCCGTAGACTGGGCTACAAGGCCAAGCAGGGTAAGTGCAGAGCCCAGACGTTGCTCTCCTACAGCGTGTGATGTATCATCATCATCATCGTCTTTGCGTTCCTTGCTAACTTTGCTTTATTCCAACAGGTTACGTAGTGTATCGTGTCCGTGTGCGCCGTGGAGGTCGTAAACGCCCCGTCCCCAAGGGTGCTACCTACGGCAAGCCAGTGCACCATGGCGTCAACCAGATCAAGTTTGCCCGCAGTCTGCAGTCCACCGCTGAGGTACGTTTATCTTTAATAGACTGGCTTAATTATGTCCAGAAGAAACAGTGAGATGTGGGTTTGGTTTGTCGATGCTTCAGATGAACCTCAGATGTGCAGTGTGTACTGCACCTGAAATAAATTAATTACGTTGGCTTGTTTTCGATAATAAAAGTTGTCAGGGACAGCATGTGTCAATTTCTATCGATGCTGATTAGAATGGATTGTAATGGCAGCTATGTGACAGTCGTTGAAGGTGCTGAATGTCCTCGAGACTGAAACACCACCCAATATCGTAGTTTAACTATCATAACTGTCATAACTATCCGTCTGTTTTCCCAGTGCCCTCCAAACATTCAGTGTTTTCACATTTCCCCTCCGAGCTCTCAAATGTTCACTGGTTTGCGCGTGTTAGTTTCTCCTCTTCTGTAAGTTGTGACTGCTCTGTACACTGTCCTGCATTTCCTAGCAGGCCATACCCCATGTGTGTTTTTGTTAGGAAGTGCAGCATACATATTTGGATATCACTAGGATAAAATACTATGTAAAATAATCGTAGTGCGTGGAGAGTGCTGTCACAGTTTGTCCTACCAAGTGACGTTTTCAAAATGTGAGTGAAAACTGAGTTGAGAAATGCGCTTTTTAATTCCATTTATAAATGAGTTGCTGACACTAAAGTGAGTTTTAATTTAAGGTCACTGGCTGATTCATGCACTTCGGAATATTGAGCTGATAAAGTGATTCGTACCACAGTTCATTCTTAAAAGGAAATCTGTCACTAGGGTGTTTTTCAGACACTTCAACTTGTCACTGTAGGTGAAGCACAGGTGTAAACAAAATAAGTGAAGGCTTAATTCTGTTCAGTTGCTTGCTGGCTCTGTGACAGAAACTACTGGGACACTAAATTAGAAGTGAGCCATTGTTGTTACTTTGGTTTCCTGCTATGACAAGTCAAATGTGTAAGAGAAAAGTCTCATATCCATTGTTATCCTGCAATAGAAGGATGATGTTATAAGCACTGGGTAGAAGTATCATCAGCTTAGTTTACATAAGCAGCATCATCACAAAAGTCACTGCTCATGAAGCTGTTTCATTTTTGTCCAAATGAAATGTGTAGCTGCAGGTGTGAGATGAAATGCTTCCACATTGTTGGCATTTCATTAAATATTACAGAGACAGTTCACTCCAAAATCAGACATTTTGTTCATCTAACCTGTTGGTGTCATTTAACAATCTAGATAGTTTTGCAGAGTGTTGGAGACATCAGCTGTAGAGATGTCTGCTTTCTCAAATATAATGGAACTAGATGGCACTCAGCTTGTGGTGCTCAAGATACCAAAAATAGAATTGACAGACTCCTCAACAGTGTCTCAGAGAGATCATGACCCGGTCACTGAAGATAATCAGACCTTGATGTGAGCAGTTTTGTGTAGTAACTGTTTGTTTTCTACTTAACTACTCATGCCAATTGTATCACAGTTTGGATGTAAGCGTGCATCTACTCATGGAGGAGAGGCTTGTGCTTGTGACAGCAGGAGATCTAAACATTAATGCGTCCCCCTCAGCTGAGCTGTAACACTAGCTAGCATAGTGGTGTTAGGTGAGTTAGCAGTAGATGCAAGCTTCTTTCTACATGGTGATTTGGTTTGCGTAGAAATAAAGTTCCTACGTGAAACTGCTCACAACAAGGTCTGTGGATTATCTTGAGTAACTGGGTCATGATTTCTGGAAAGAGACATTGCTGTTGAGTTTTTCAAATGTATTTTTTGGCACTTTGAGCACCACAAGCTGAGGGCCATCTAGTTTCATAATATTGGAGATAAGACAGACATCTTTATGACTGATATCTGCAACACTCAGCAGCTCACACCAAAGCAATGTAGACTGATAAATGTCGCTACAGGTAAGAGGAGAAATGTGTATTTTTGATTTCCCTGAACTAGCCCTCAAAGTTGGAGCTGAAGGTTTTTCCTACTGTGGTAAACATGGATTTGCCATCGTTGGTTAGCCTCTGTTTCTCTTGGACAATGTGGTCCAAAACCAACAGGGCTAGGTTTTTCATAAAGACAGAAACACTAGCAATTTATGAAAAAAAAACTGGCATTTAACAGGTGAAAACCCTGAAAATGATGGTGGAAATGGTTTTTATGATCAAGATTAAAGTCCAATATATATATATTGAGATTCATATGAAATGCACAATTGTGTATGAGGATATCAAACAGATTATCACACATACAGGAGGTGTTAAGATTTCTGAAGATGAGAAATCCTCTTTAAACTGCCACTGAGAGCCATAAAAGCAGAGTTCCTTCTGCATCTGGTGCCACATCGCTGTGTTGGATTATATTGATTTGTTAAATTAAGATACAGGACTGATTTTTGACACCGATTTGACCAGTCAGAACACTTCACTCACTATATTTTGTTCCCTAGGAGCGTGCTGGCCGTCACTGTGGAGCTCTGCGAGTGCTGAACTCCTACTGGGTGGGCGAGGACTCCACCTACAAGTTCTTTGAGGTGATTCTGGTCGACATCTTCCACAAGGCCATCAGACGCAACCCAGACACCCAATGGATCACAAAGGCTGTGCACAAGCACAGAGAGATGCGTGGCCTGACATCTGCAGGAAAGAAGAGCCGCGGCCTGGGCAAGGGCCACAAGTTCCACCTGACCATCGGAGGCTCCCGCCGTGCAGCCTGGAAGAGGCGCAACACCCTGCAGCTGCACCGTTATCGTTAGAGCACGCCTGTACATTTAAAAAAATAATAAACAGCCCTTTTTATGGTGAAGATCCTGTCTGCCGTCTGTTTCATTCAGCTCTTAGAAGATTAAACAGATTTTTAAGGGGGTTTACAGCTCATACTATTAATGAGAATAAAAGTGACTCAATCTTTCCCTTGAAAACCTTTTGATATGGCTTATGTACCAAAAAGAGCGTCTTAGGGTCACACCTACACAACCTCACAGGGGAATTCACTGTTCGCTGATTAAAACTGCAGAACTGTGTGCAGGTACAGACTACGTGATTACACTCACTTTCCTGTTTATTGAATTTGCAACAACACAAATTACATCTTTACAATTTAGCTGTGTTTTGGTGAAACCTATTAAACCAGTAATCAGAAAGCAAACTAAAAATACGATAAGGCAAAGTTTCTGTAAAAACATATCACATCAAGGTGTCTGCAGGCCCTTATTTGTCTTATTCAATTTTATAATCATTAGGCTTT